ATCTCTGTGTAGTTCACAAAAACAACTTTGGCTTCTTCCTACGAGCTTAAATTTATTGTAAAAAATGAAAATGTAAATAAAAATCTGGGGCTTAGCTTTATATCAGGACTTGATTTGGTTTCTCAGTGGATGAGGTTCAGAGGAAACACGTTTCTGTCACTTGAAAATGATTCGTCTGTTCTTCTGCTCTCCAGTAGGAGGGTATAATGTAAACGTACAATTATATATAATCGTCTTTGGTTTAAGATATTTTGTACTTTTGAAAATTTTTTTCCTCAACTACATTGTTTCTCCTTGTTTGGCTAAGTGCTACTCATCCTTTAATTTCAATTTTAAAACTCATTTCCTTAAAGTGGCATTTTTCTGATTGTCTTGTCAAAATTATGACATACCCCAATCCTACTACTGTTATTCAAGTAGTATTCCATTCCTAACACAAATTGTGGTGCATCACTACATATTTATTTGTTTATCATCTGCCTCTATTATGAAAGCAGCCAAAGGGCAGGGACCATACCTGTTTGATTCATACTATGTAAATATATTATTTAATATTCAATATATTCCGTGTTATATATTCACATATGATAAGCAAGTTTCTGATTAGGTTATTTTTCTAGGACACAGCTTTATGTTATTTTTTTGGGGGGGGCTTGAAGCTCTTTCAGGACTTCATGAATAGAAGAAGTTAATTTTATGTTAAAATACAATTATCAGGGAAATATATTCATGAAATGTCACTTTTGCTTGTTATCTTTCTTTTTATCCAGGAGAAATCAACGATTCTGCCAATTATGAGATGTTCTCGTTCCACAATGGAGGTGTAAAAGTTTTATGCAAATATCCTGAGATTGTCCAGCAATTTAAAATGCAGTTACTGAAAGGGGAACAAATACTTTGTGATCTCACTAAGACAACGGATAGTGGAAACGCTGTGTCCATTGAGAATCTGAAATTTTGTAAATCCCAGTTGTCCAACAACAGTGTCTCTTTTTTTCTGTATAACTTGGACAGTTCTCATACCAGCTATTACTTCTGTAAACTATCAATTTTTGATCCTCCTCCTTTTCAAACAGGCATTCTTAAAAGAGAATATTTGCATATTTATGGTAAGACATTGCTTTCATCTTCCAAACTTAAGAATACATACATGTTTTAACAACTCTTCTTACTAATGAAAACAATTAGACAAATAAGTACCTTTTGTGTTAGAGTTCATTTAGTTGTAGTTGACGGCAATTATTTATGATGAGGATATATAAGGGATGATTTATTATTATTAATTTAATCAGTATTAATAATATATGTTATTCACATAGACTGCTGAGTTAGAAATGGGTCATGTTTTCTTTAAAACACCTATACCATTAAAAATCAGGAAAAAAATTAAGACGAATAACCAAAGTCATGGCTTAATAATGGCTATCATCTCTACTTACCTAAGATTTTAGGTTTGGTTTTGTGCTGTGTTTGTGGAATGGAATGAGATGATTGAAAAATCATAGTTTTATAACATTACTTTTACTACTAACTCTTTTGCAAATATATAGGCAGAAAAGCCATTTCTATTAACTACATTTATAAACATATACGTGCATAGTCTTTTAGGTTTTAGTTTCTGGATCCTTGCTGTAATACCGGGATGACGTTAGTTGCCATTTGCTGGATTTCATGATCGTTATAATGAAAAGCTTCATTTGATTAAATAGCTCTTTTAAATTTGATAAAAGAACTGGTGGTTTAGCACTGAAAGAGGAGATTTGATTCTCAGAGTTTTTTATTAATATGTCTTTTTTTCTAACACAGAATCAGAAGTTTGTTACCTACTGAAATTCTGGTTATACATAGGATGTGCAGCTTTTGCTGTAGTCTGTGTTTTGGGATGCTTATTTACTTTTTGGATTACAAAAAAGGTGAGTAATTTCTATCTTTTCTTGAATCTGCTTTACTGAGGTGTATCAGTGATTATTTGTTCATCAAAACTACACATTGCTCTTGCCAGACAATTCCTTTCCCCCAAGATATACCTGCTAATTAAATTAATCACTTGGAACAGAAGTTTATTTATTTATTTGTGTTATAGCACACATATTCCAAAAAGACTTGACTCAATGGCTTACAGAGAGATATAGTATTATTATTGTTGTTGCTCAAAAAGATGAAGAAACTGGGGCCAAGAGAAGACTAAAGGTCAGGAGGAAGGTTAAAACATAAAAATAGATGCCTTTGATTTTTTAAAAATTATTACGCGTAGGCTGCACATTTGAATTTAAGCTTCCTAAGAGGACAGAGATGAAACAGCTATAAGTTTCGCTGAACTGCTAAGTTAAAAACAATCGGTGAGTAAGTCTTGTGAAGTGGCAATAGTAGCTGAGAAGGCAATTGCCAGCTTCTTTACAAGGTAAGTTATTAGACTCCTTGCTTTTAAAGAAAACTACCAAAAAGCTATTCAGAAAGATAAACAACAGCAATGACAACAATAAAAATCTCTCTGTGCCGGGGGATATTCTTTTTAGTTTTCATGATACACTTTCTCAATTAAAGAACTTGTACCATTCCGCATATTCTAGGAGTATGCTAGTACTCAAGTATATTCACGATGTGGTCATTGGCCAGACAGCGTATAGCTGTGCCAGACTGGAATTTGAAAGGAGAGATAAAGAGGGAAGAGAATGAGATTGGGCCCACATCTGCATCTACTGGGGAAGAAGCAATAAAAGCAAAAGTGAGGAAGGAAGTTCAGTAGAAAGCTCTTTTTATGTAAAGCCCTTTCATATTGTTCTCCTACTTAGCCTAAAGCCAGGTACCTACATCACGTTTATATGCTTTTGTCATATTCCACCTCAACAAAGAATATAAAATAGTCAAAAAACAAAGATGGAGATGGGGAGGAGCGAGTGACAAACCACGTTTCTGGCTTTTCCTTTCAGAAGTATCAATCCAATGTTCATGACCCTAATAGTGAATACATGTTCATGGCAGCGGTGAAGACAGCCAAAAAACCTACACTCACAGGTACAGGGATTTGGGGAGGGAAGAGGGTACTTCTGGTTAAGTCTAGAATTTTAATTTTTTGTTTTCAGGCCTCATTTTAGTACTTTCTGTGAAAATCTGGATTTTCACTTTAACTGTATTTATACTTTTTGCAATATATTGAAAACAAACAAGCAATATGTTTATAAACCACGATCAAAAATAAACAAACAAAAAGTGCATAAGCCATGGTTGTATCAAAGCGATTTTCCAATTCATATTTCAAAAACTGGGCTGATTCTAAGTCTTCCTTGTAGAAAAGTTCAGTGAGTCATTTGATCAGAATTTACTGAATATCAGTTAAGTGCACATTACTGAGTCAGGTACTGTGGGAGCTACACAGTTGAGTGGGAATTTGGAACTGAGAGTAGGAAGAGAGACCCAGGCTGGTGCTACCGGGGGGAAGAAGGAGAAATTGGTGAAGATATTCACTTATTTTGATGGGAAGAGTATGCAAGTTGAGAGAACTTGGACGGCTTCAGAAGTCTCACTTAGGTGAGACTTTGACCTTTAATGTTGAGTGTTAGACCTGAGTGTTGTCAAGTGTGAGAAGCGCTCAGAACGTTTGAAGCATACATTATGGAAAATGTGTACGTTTTATGCCTTTGAAGTTGGAATGATGTGACAAGCAAAGGCACAGCATTTTTGCCACCCCTCGGTGGTCAAGACACACACACAGCTTGTGTTGTCATGGGATTATAGCTTGGGAAGGGAGTTTAGAGGTCTCCTTTAGTTCACTTTCTCATTTTCTGGATGACAGAAACTGATGCCCAGAGTGTTCAGTGACTCTTCTGGTTTCCCTGAAAGTCAACACCACAGCTTTGACAGTAGTAAAGAGCTTATCTATTGTTGCTCTGCTATTGAAAAAATATACTTTCTGTCACTCTCTGTGCTCATGAGAATGGGGTCTGTCTTAGTTGGGATTGCCACAAGCAGAACCAGAGATAAGGACTTGGGAGCAAGTATTAATAGTTGATCTGGGAGGTGATCCCGGAAGAAGGGGTGAGGGGGCAGGGAGAATGAGACCACAAGGAGGAAGAGCAAACGAAGGGTGCAGGACCCTCAGCTATAGGCCACAGGGGCCTGATTTCATCGGAGAGTGCAGACGCCTCCCAGAAGGATGGCAAGCAGGGCATTTATCCACTGGCTCCAGCCCCACTGGTGTGGGGTTGCCTGCAGAGAGCATTAACTCTCCCTCATCCCTGAGCTGTGCCCTGTGCTTGGGGAGAGCCTGCTCTCTAGTTCTCAGAGAAAGGCTGGAGGCAGAAAAGCAAGAGATGAGAGATGCGTGGTGGTCTATTGTGCTGGAACAGCAGCAGCAGCTGGAATCAGAGGTGGGCGGTTTCGCAGTGAGGAGTTCAGATAATGGCTGCTGTAGGAGTCGAGAGTGGGCTGTGTAAAACTTCATGGAAAATGTGGGACTGGTACTGGGTCTTGAAGCGTTAAGTCGAGCTTGGATGGGGTGAGTCTGTGTGTGTGTGTGTGCATGTGTGTGCGTGAGAGGCAAAGGAAAGGCGAAAGTTTGTTGAAGGGAATTGGCACAAGGAGAGCTTTTAAAGAATTTATGCTAAATTTTTGTTACAGATGTGACTCCATAATCTGGAACTCTCTGGCACCCAGGCATGAACTACGTTGGCCAGTTTTCCCTAACCTGAAGTACAAGATTCCCTCATTTCCTGGACCACAGAGAGTCTGACTTGATTTGACCACATACATCTCCTGATGGTGTTTCGTTCATTCTGGACCAGTGACTGTATCAGTCAAAAGGGATTTTAACAGACTGCCTTGGTACTGCTGAGTTCTCTCAAAACAAACACCCTCTTGCAGCTAGCCTTATAGACAGCCCAGCTCCTGTGTGCTCAACAAATAGACCTCACTGGGATGGAATCTCTGTCTCCACATCTGCTCCTAGCAATGCTCACAGCCAGCAAAACAAACACATCTACAAAAAATTTTAAAAGATGCCTAGGGTACTGAATCTGCAAAGCAAATGAGCAGCCCAGGGCCAGCATCTGCCTGTGTTTCACTAACAGACTACCTCTTCTTACTATGGGGATAGAGCACTCTTCTTTTAATCAGACGGTAGAGGGACACACTTCAGAACTATAACTATTTTATTTCTGAGATGTCCATGTGTCCGAATACAAGTACATACACAGCACTCTTCTCCAGTTTCTGAACCCTGGTTGACCATCCACCAAAAGTTTAGATGTTTTCTCTTGCCATCATCCTTTTAAAAATACTAAGACATGACTACCTGACAGCCTGACAGCCAGCCTGAATAGGGAGCTATGTCTACATTTTTCCTCTGCTTCTTATTCTTTCTCTGTGTGTGTATAAATAAAATATATATACACATATATAAAATACATATACATGCATACATATATATAAAATTAATGATGAATGTATTTGCCTGTATTCTCCTTGCAAGAATATTTTTCTCCAGAAAGACATCTTATTTCCCCAAACTCAGTTAAAATCGTTTACTTTGTTGACATTAGTAGTAGGAAACATTGCCCAGAGAATCAAAAGCAACTTCATTTCGTTATCCTGTTTTCTACCATTATCTGTGTTTTCATGGTACTATTAATTACAAGGTAGGCTGTTTTTGTAGATTATATTAAAATTGCAAGCAAAACCATCTTTAATTGGCAAGCATTCTCCTGGGGTACAGCGAATGATCCATTTAACCCAAAAACTGCAGGTACTGTAGGTTGCTGCCAAATGATGGCCGTGCTGCCCCTGGGCTTGCAGGTCAAAATGGTCCCCGTCAGCCGGGAGCAGCCCTCCAGCCCTCGGTGGAATTCCAAGGATTGAGAGACTCCCCTGGGCCAGAGACCACCAGGTGCTCTTTCCCTCAGAGGCTGAAGTCACCTTGGGCACCACAGTGGCTCTACCTGCATTTTGCCCGTCAGGATCTGGGAAGAAGTACACACAAGTCAGGGCACGATTCCCTCTCCTAGAAACCATCCAGCCTGGAAACTGGCCCTGGCCCTTCAACATAGTCCTCTTTAGAATATAATTTGTCTAGAAATGTTCTTAAATACCTGTAATGTGATTATGCTTAGCTGGAATATTTTCCCTATTTCCTGTCTGCATGCTCGAGGCTTCTGAAGCTGTCAGTGTGTATGCAGCAACATTTTAAACTTTAGGTAAAATGGGGTTATTTAGTAGTTTTAAAATTTGTAGTTGCCTGCTTATAGTTTACTTTACAAGTGAGACCTAATGTGTCATTATGCATACTTATATTATCTTAAGCATGTGTAATGCTGTATGTGTACAGTACAGTACTGAACTTGCAATTCGAATCGAGTATAGTGTTGTTTTTGGCTGACTTGGACAACCCGGCTGGCTTTGTAGGGGTGTTTCATGAGTTGTTTGCAGCTTTCTGTGTGGGGGATTGGGTGTGGGGAGGACAGCCTGCATGGTGGCCTGCCTGGCCTGGTTGTCCAAGCTATGCCTTGAAGCATCCTCATTCCCAGCACTGTACATTTCAAAGTGAATTGTTAAGAACAAAATTTCCATGAAATAAAATCTGGTTTTAAGAGGAGCCACTTATCAAATAGAATTTAGCAGTAGTAAGAAGCTAGAGAATAAACATTTGATATTCAGAAACTGAAAATACCTCACTGTGTGTTTTTTTTGGGGGGGTGGGGTGGGACAGGGAACTGATTACCTTAGCTAGGACTTCAAATTTGACCTTGTTCTTAAAGATAGTTACATTGCTTGGAACAGTTGCTTTTTTTCATTTTCTTTTTAAATTTTGAAATGACCACAACTTATAAAACAGTTGGAAGCACAAGAAAAGGACTCTTCTTTTCTTGAGTAAGTTTCTTTTTTTTTTTTTTTTGAGACAGAGTCTCACTCTTTTTGCCTGGGCTAGAGTGCCATGGCATCATCCTAGCTCACAGCAACCTCAAACTCCTGGGCTCAAGCAATCCTTCTGCCATAGCCTCCCGAGTAGCTGGGACTACAGGCATGCGCCACCATGCCCGGCTAATTTTGTCTATATATTTTTAGTTGTCTGATTAATTTCTTTTCTATTTTTAGTAGAGACGGGGTCTCGCTCTTGCTCAGGCTGGTTTCGAACTCCTGAGCTCAGACAATCCGCCCGCCTTGGCCTCCCAGAGTGCTAGGATTACAGGTGTGAGCCACCGCGCTGGGCCTTGAGTAAGTTTCTGACCTAATGTCCTATCACCTCTGAGTAGTATGTATTTGCTACAAACAAGAACACTGTCCCCTATAACTATAATATGGCCAATGACATCAGAAAATCACCATTGATACATTGCTAGCGTCCAGTGCTCAGACTGCATGCAAGATTTGCCAGCTGTCTTCATGATGTGTTTCATAGCCCAAGATTCAGGATCTTCCTTTGCATTAGTTGCCACGTCTCTGTTGCATGCTCCAGTCTGGACAGTTCCTCAGTCTAGATGTCATGGACTCGACATTTTTGAAGATTACAAGCAATTATTTAGTAGATCGTCTCTTGTGTGAGTCAGTCCGATGTTTCTTCATGATTAAAAGCTGGTTCTTCTTCTTGGGCAGAAATAACACAGAAGTGATCCTGTGCTCTTTCCATCGCAATCCTATTAGGCGCTCACAATTTTGCTTTGTTACATTACTAATAATGTTCACTTTAATCACTTGACTAAGGTGGTGTCTGTCAAGCTTCTACACTGGAAAGTAACTCTTTTCCTCTTTATAGTTAATAAATATTTTGTGGGAAAGTACTTTGAAAATATAAATCTTCTGTTCCTCATCAAAATTTCAATTTATTGATTTGTTTATATCTGCATGACATCCTGGTGTCCTATTTTATTCAATGGATAACAATTGGTTACTATTATTATTCTGTTTTGATACTGAAATTGACCCAGCCTTGGCCAGTGGGAGACCATTCTTGTCTTGTGTCCTTCTGTTGTGTCCCCATCATTCTTTCAGCACTTCCCTGTTTCTGGAATGAGAAATTCCAGCTTCAGCTGGAGCTTCCCCTGTCCCAGCACTGGGATCAGCTGCTTTTCTAAGGAGCCCTGGTTTCTTTGAGTGGAGAGTGGTTTTAGAAGCCCAGATCTAGCGACTAGTTATGCTCATTGCTGTTGGGATTTCCAACAGTGGACAGAGCTGGGGATCTGTATCTATCCAGACAGATAGATATGTGTATAAATCTAAATATAGATGTGTGTATGCATATATGTGTATGTTGTATATAAGTGTATATTTATACATAATATGTATGCATACATATACACATTTAAATATCTGTCTATAAATCAATGAGTTCACACCCATGCCATTAATTCCAACACAACATTACAGGGTGATTCATTCTAGACCTATTCCTTTATTTGTCCTTCTGACAGTGAGAAACCTGGCTCTTCTATCCTTAATATATTTATTTATTTGATCAATCCCCCAGTATAACATCTATCTCCTATCTCCTTCCTCCTCCCTTCCCCACACCCATGTGGTCCCCTCCTCTCTCTGCTTGGGTTCTGACTCTTCATTCCAGGCTGCCCAATTCTCTGTTACTCTTTTGCCCAGGTTGGGCTCTCCCACCCCACGGGTAGCCTTTTCACCCTGTTTGGGTTCTAAAACCCCAGGCTGGGTCATTCTGCCATGGGGATGCCCTTCTTACCCTGCTTGGGCTCTGACCTCTGCCCAACCCCAGTGGATCCTTTGGCCTAGGGTGGGTAACCCCATGGCCTATGCTTTGCCCCACAGAGTTAGCCCCCAGAATTTGCCTGTGTTGATAAGTTCCAGATGCCCACAGTGATACCTGGCTTGATACACTTTGTTGGTAGACGTTCCTTCGCTGTCTTACTTCCCCACTTCCCTGCTGTCACATAAACTACTTACCCTGGAATCCTTTCTCAGCATCTGTTTCCAGAGAAGCTCAGAGTAAGACACCTCCTTTGCCCCTCCGGGCCTAGGGGAAGTAAAGGGTTTTCCACTGTGGGTAGGCCCTGGTGCTTCATTCCACCTTGTTTATTCCTTGATTCCTTCCACACTTGTGGTAACAGTTCCTTCATTAGCCCTCCTCCCTTAACGTTTTAAACTACCTTTTATTTCTGTGGAGAGCCTGACCAAATCACACCAAAACTGTGGCCTGTTCCTCTTGCTCCATCCCTTTCTACACCTGGGACCCTGGGACATGGAGTCCTCCTAGCGTCTGACCTTCTTTAGAAGCATCAGCTAGAATTCTGATAAATAATATTCTTTACCTTGTTATATCCTTTTCTTTGTTAAGTTCACATCCTTCTCTTTTTCCTTTGTGTGATGCAAGTCCTCTTCCCACTCCCACTCTTCTCCATTTTTTCTTTTTTACTGGGTGCCTAAGATTTCTCCTGCTGCCACAGAAGACAAGCTGTGCTCAGCCTAGTTGCTAGTCAACCTTAGTTCAGTGAAAACAAGGAAATGAGATTTGAAATTTTCTAGGAGGATGAATGTATATATCATTATCAACGTTTAATCCTATCCTTTGGGGTCTGTGTTCTCAGTGAGATGAAGAAGATGGTGAATTCACTAAGTCTTTTCCACAAAAAGGCAAGCTGTGCTTGGATATTTTTCACTTTATGCTATGTTTTATTTCTCTCTACCTGATTGGTTAGTGTTTATGAATTCAGTGTATGAATTTTAATTATTCACCTCCCCGCCATATGTTCTGTCTAAGGCAG